GTTTAATAATTTTAAGACGTCCATAATTCTTACATACCGTCTTATGTTATGCCTTACCACGACGTTTTGGTTTAATTTTTTTACTCTCTGTACAATCTGTCTTATATATATATTTCTTTATTATTTAAAACAGAAATCTGGGGCTTTAGATAATCAAGATGAAGAGAAGAAAGAAGAAAATAAAGATGAACAGAAGATGGGAGAAAAAAAAGATGAAGGGAAGAAGGAAGAAAAAAAGAGAATAAAGATGAAGGCAAAGAGGAAGACACAAATGTTGAAGAGAAGAAAGAAGAAAAACAAGATGAAGAAAAGCATGACGAGGAGGTATATTCTCATAACTTTGCCTTTTTAATTTGTTTTTCACATTTCAGACGTCGATATTTTCTTTAAACCGTCGTTTGTTTTCACATTAGACGTCGGAATTTATTTTCTACGACGTAATAAATAATCTAAAACGACGGTATTTAATTACCGTCGTTTAAATTATAATCAGACGACGTTTTTTAATTTAAACCGTCGTTTTTAATGAATTACCACGTCATTTATTTTGCTTTATTTCTTTAAACAGGGTAATGAAGTAGTTGATTATTCAAATGTGGAGGTGCCATCTTCCTTACAATCCCTTTGTGGTTATGTGGAAACTACACTAAAGCCACAGGGGAAGATCATGACCTTCAACATTGAGAAGGAGGTGTTTGGTGCAGATCGAAGTACCTTCGTCTTGCATGAAGATATTACACAGTTTGCAGGCATGGAAGAAATTGGGGCTACTGTGGTTGCAGTATATATGAGGTTTGTCCTAATCAAATATCAAACATTATATCATAAGACGTCGGTTGTTTAATTATTGCGTCGTTTTAAATCACTAACCACGTCGTTCTTTTTTACCGTCGTGATAAATTAGTTATCACGTCTGTTTCTATTTCAGTTCGTCGTGTGAAATTGTATAATACGTCGTTTGTGTATAAATAACCGTCGTTTGTTTTATATATTTAGGTGCTTATATGATCTTTTGAGAGAAGCAAATATGTGCAGCATGGTTGGCTTTATCGACCCTGCTCAAGTTAGTGCCAACGCTGGGTCACTAACTGACAGATCACGAATTGTAGCCAGTCGACTTCAGAAAACAGATGGTGAACAGATTTTCATGATGCCTTACAATCCAGGGTTAGTCTCCTTAAATGGATTTTGTTTGTATGATTTTCACTTATAAAACTGTTTAACTAATTCTGTGTCGTTTGAAACATCTAACCACGTCGGTTATTTATTTATACCATCGTTTGAAACAACTAACCACGTCGGTAGTTAATTCTCGTCGTGATAAATTTATAATCACGTCGATGATTAAGTTCTTACGTCGTGTGAAACTATATAATACGTCGGTTTTTATAAATAACCGTCGTTTTTTATTTTATTTTTGTGCAGCCGTCATTGGGTCTTGCTGATTGTGAGGGCAAAGAGGGAAACCGTCTATTTTCTGGATCCTCTGCCTGGAAATCGTGTGGTTGATGAGGAGGGCAAAAACATCGTGAACAGTGCTTTAAAAATTTATAATTCCCACATAGGCAGACCAGGCCGTAAAGCACCAATTTGGAAAACTCTGCCAGGCACACCAAAGCAACCCAGCAGTGTCGAATGCGGGTATTATGTCATGCGCTTCATGAGGGACATCATCATGGATCCTTCCTTGGAGTTTGAGAAGAAGGTAAGAAAAAAATTTTCAGAAACATTTTATTTGGTTTTTGTATTATCAACGACGGTCATTTAAAATTACCGTCGTTGAATCGATAGACTACGTCGGTTATAAAAAAAAACGTCGTCTGTGACTGAATTTCTTTTTATTTTGTAAAGCTTAATAATCGTTGTTTATGGATTGCAGTTTGCCAAGGGAAAAGATCAAGCGCCATACCCCCAAGCAGCCATTGATGAAGTCAGGAAAGAATGGGCAGAGTTTGTTTGCCTTCATATGGATTAGAGGATTTTTGGAACACTTGATATTTTTATATGTACTAATTTTGTCTATAATATATAATGTACAAATTTTGTCTATAATATACATCCTTTTTTTCCCTGAAAATTTGCAGAGGTTTTCATATTATAAAAGAAAAAACAATTTGCTGAGGTTTTCATATTATAAAAGAAAAAACAATTTGCTGAGGTTTTCATATTTTACACATATATAATTTATGGTTTTAAAGTTTAGGGTATTACTTTTAACGACGGTGATTGAGTCGTGGAATATTGAGTTTACGTCGTATGGTGAAAAATACGACGTGGTTTCTTTTTAAACGACGTTTTGTTTACCTGTTAGTCGTTTATTATTGTTTACAACGTCGTTAGTTACTTAACCCCGCCGTGGTTTGTTGTTGATATAAGAATATTTTATTATTTTTAATTCAAAATTTTAAAAATAAATTTAAAATAAATTCAAAAAATTCAACTTCAACTCCTATGAAGTCATTGATATATTTTCTTCCCCCTAAACCCCAAAAAAATGCAGTTTGTGTAATGAAAGTTTAAAATGACCAACCAAAATAAAATTGTTTTATGAGTCATAGCATCACTTATATAGTTTGATGGTTTAGGGTTTAGGGTTTGGGGTTTAGGGTTGTTTTTATTAGGGTTTATGGTTAAAGTAGTATATTTTTGGGGTTTAGGGTTTATCTTGTTATTTATTAAGGATGTAAAACCATAAACATTTTATAAAATTAAATTTTTACAAATATATAATTTAGGTTTTAAAGTTTAGGGTATTACTTTTAACGACGGTGATTGAGTCATGGATATTGAGTTTACGTCGTATGGTGAAAAAATCCGACGTGGTTTCTTTTTTAAACGACGTTTTGTTTACCTGTTAGTCGTTTATTATTATTTACAACGTCGTTAGTTACTTAACCCCGCCGTGGTTTGTTGTTGATATAAGAATATTTTATTATTTTTAATTCAAAATTTTAAAAATAAATTTAAAATAAATTCAAAAAATTCAACTTCAACTCCTATGAAGTCATTGATATATTTTCTTCCCCCTAAACCCCAAAAAAATGCAGTTTGTGTAATAAAAGTTTAAAATGACCAACCAAAATAAAATTGTTTTATGAGTCATAGCATCACTTATATAGTTTGATGGTTTAGGGTTTAGGGTTTGGGTTTGGGGTTTAGGGTTGTTATTTATTAGGGTTTATGGTTAAAGTATAATTTTTGGGGTTTAGGGTTTATGCTTGTTATTTATTAGGATGTAAAACCATAAACAATTTTATAAAATTAAATTTTACACATATATAATTTATGGTTTTAAAGTTTAGGGTATTACTTTTAACGACGGTGATTGAGTCGTGGAATATTGAGTTTACGTCGTATGGTGAAAAATCCGACGTGGTTTCTTTTTTAAACGACGTTTTGTTTACCTGTTAGTCGTTTATTATTATTTACAACGTCGTTAGTTACTTAACCCCGCCGTGGTTTTTCATAGTTTTAACGCCTTTTTTGATTTTGCGTGGTACATAGTTTTACCACGACGTCCTTAATGTAATAAGCGTCATGTTTAATGTTCAATTTTAACGACGCTTGTATTTTCGGTCGATGTTTTAAAAAGCGCGCTTTCTTAAAATATTCGCGGGACCTAAAATTTTCAGATTTGGCTCTTATTTTTATACTTCTAACCCTGAACCCTAAAATTTTCTGATTTCGCGCAACATAACATTTCGCTCTCTCACTTCATCTCTAATTCAAAGTTGGGCCAGGCTGTGTCAAATCCAATTTGGTCATAATCTGTGAGCTCTGCCAACCTGTAAGTACAAACCCTCTCTTCCCCTTGTAAATTCATTGAATGATATATTACGGTGTTTTGTTAAAGGGTTTTAGGTATATGTTTTGCGATCTGTTAATAATGTTGTTGGAGGTATGGGTTCATGGATTTTCTGTTTAATGTTTTCTTGATCACTCTCTGTTATGTTGAATATGGAATGGATTTCATTTTGTCGGATCTTTTAATCACTCTCTGTTATGTTGAATTGGGAATGGATTTATTGTTTTCATGCTTAGTATATGTTGGTTTCATGTATATGTTGGTTTCTTGCTTGGTTTCATGTCTATGTTGTGTTCTTAATAGGGTTTTGGGATCTTGAAAATAAACTGGATATCGACGCGTTTTCAGGCATACGACGACGGTTTTTACTTTAAACCGTCGTTTTTATTACTTATACACGACGGTGTTATTTAACTACCGTCGTGGTTATAATTAGACGACGTAAAATCCGTCGTCTATATATGTCAAATACGTCTGTTTTTGTTTAAAAACCGTCGTCTCTGTTGTATATTACTTGCTATTAGACTTTATATAATCTGCTATAGTGATGGTCATTGCTTGTCTTTTCACTTTATTATATATAATAGGGTATAGTGTCGGAGATGGATAAGTCATGGATGCACTCGGATAGAAGATCGAAGGCATATGAGTTAGGGGTGGAAGCATTTTTGAACTTTTCTGTAGAAAATCTTCTAACTACCACACATATCCGTTGTCCATGTGTTAAATGTGTTAATTTGAAATTGTTTGGGGTTGGAATTATAAGGGATCACTTATACTTTAATGGAGTTGACCAAAGCTATAAGAATTGGACATTTCACGGAGAACCTTGGGAAGCAGCTACTAATGCTAGTAGAAATGTTGAAGAAGATGATGACCATAGTAGGTACAGTTTTGTGTCTGAAGAAATAGAGATGGATGATAATGATTTTGGTGATTTTGGATCTGATCCTTATGAGTTTGCCAATGTGATTGGGGATGGAGATCAACCATTGTACCCTGGTTGTAGAAAGTACACGAAGTTATCGGCATTAGTGAAGTTGTATAATTTGAAGGCAAAATATGGGATGAGTGATGTCTGTTTTACAGAATTATTGATACTTCAAGGCGATTTGCTTCCAGAAGGAAATACAATACCGGCCTCTATGTATGAGGCAAAAAGACTTTGTGTGCATTGGGGCTGAGTTATGAGAAAATGCACGCATGCCCCAATGATTGCATCTTGTATAGGAAGGAGTATGAGGATTTAACTCATTGTCCTAATTGTGGTATCTCAAGGTGGAAGGAAGGCAAAGATTCAATCTTGAAAGAGGGTGTGCCAGCGAAGGTGGTGTGGTATTTTCCTCCAATTCCAAGGTTTAAAAGGATGTTTCGATCACATGAGACCGCTAAGAGTTTGACTTGGCATGCTGCTAGAAAATCAATTGACGGTTATATGTCTCATCCAGCGGATTCCCCGTCTTGGAAACTTCTTGATGATAAATGGCCCGAGTTTGGTAATGAGCCGAGAAACTTGAGATTGGCTCTTTCATCTGATGGATTCAATCCCCACAGTTCTCTAAGTAGCAGATATAGTTGCTGGCCAGTTATCTTAGTTACATATAATCTCCCTCCATGGCTGTGCATGAAACGAAAGTTCATGATGTTGACCTTATTGATTTCCGGTCCTAAACAGCCCGGGAAATGATATAGACGTCTACTTGGAGCCTTTGATTGATGATTTAAAATCTTTGTGGGATGGGATTGGAGGAGTGTATGATGCACATAATGGAGAATACTTTACACTCAGAGCTGCATTAATGTGGACAATTAATGATTTCCCCGCCTATGGAAACTTATCTGGTTGTGTTGTTAAAGGATATAAAGCTTGTCCAATATGCGGCGATGATACACCTAGTCACAGGTTGAAAAATGGCCACAAAATTTGTTACATTGGGCATAGAAAATGGTTACCGATCAATCATCCATATAGGAGGCAACGTGCAGCTTTTAATGGGAAACCTGAATATGGCACGCCTCCTGAGCCATTAACCGGAGAAGAAGTGCTGCATATGGTTGAAGATGGTGACAGAGTTTGTTGGAAGAAGAAATCAATATTCTTTGATCTCGAGTATTGGAAATACCTTCCTGTGAGGCATGTCCTAGATGTTATGCACATTGAGAAGAATGTTTGCGATAGTATCATTGGTACATTGCTGGAGATCCCTGGAAAAAATAAAGATGGGATTGCTGCTCGATTAGATTTATTGAACATGGGGGTCAAAACTGATTTGCAACCCGAGTATGGAGAAAGACGTACTCGTTTGCCTCCCGGGCCTTGGAATTTGTCAAGAGCAGAGAAGAGAGAGGTTTGCAATTCTTTCTATGGTATGAAGGTCCCTGAAGGTTATTCTTCAAATATAAAAAATCTTGTATCTTTACAAGATTCAAGCTTCTTGGCCTTAAATCACATGATTGTCATACCTTAATGCAACAATTGGCTCCCTGTGGCAATTCGTTCTGTTTTGGAGAAGCCTCAAGGTATGCAATAACTCGTTTGTGCTTCTTCTTCAATGCTATATGTGCAAAGACTGTTGATGTTTCCAAGTAGATAAGTTGGAAGAAGATGTAGTAGTTACTTTGTGTTTGCTTGAGAAGTACTTTCCCCCTTCATTCTTTGATATCATGGTTCATCTAGTAGACATCTTGTCAGAGAAGTTCGTCTGTGTGGGCCAGTATATTTTAGATGGATGTATCCGTTTGAAAGATATATGAAAGTGCTAAAGGGGTATGTTCAGAATCGTACTCGTCCCGAAGGTTGCATTGCTGAGCGGTATATAGCTGAAGAAGCTGTAGAGTTTTGTACGAGCATTTATCTGATGTTAGTAAGTTGGAGTGCCTTCAAGCCAAAAGATGGGAGTTTCAAAGCCATTATAGGTTGCACATGAGCGTAGTTGAATCGGGACCGTTGAACCAGACATCTATATGTCGGAGAATAGGAGGAAGTCCTACCTTATATCGAGTACGTATAGTTTTTATCTTTAAGTTTCCATTTTAAATTATTTCTTATGTTTATCTTATATTTTGGGACCGTAATACTAATTTTGTGTGTCTGTAGGCAACATATGATCCACATCCAGACCGCTTTATCCAAAATTGAAAGAGAACAAAGTGGCTGCAGGATAAGCACAATAGCACTTTCATTCAATGGCTACGCTTCAAGGTATATGTTATTGAATAACATATTGGACTTTTAATTTTCTTCTTTCTTGTTAGATTGAATTAAGTTATGATTAATTTGCAGGTTCAAAGTGAACTTAATGAGGAAAGACAATCATGGCGTATCAGAAAATTTAAGGTGGTAGCAGCTGGTCCAAACATGGCCAGTGCCATTATATAGGAGCCTATCTCATTAAAGGGTATTTAAATTCAACATCAAGGCACAAGATGATGTGCGGACAACTCAAAAATAGTGGAGTTTATTTACTTGCACATACTATGCAAGTTGCTAGTGCCAAGGATTAAAAACCCAATTCTCTCAATATATGGGTTTCTATGGGTCATTCAAGAAATTTGGGACCTTGACTACCAAAAGTTTACAATCCCAGTCTTTAGGTGTGATTGGATTGATAATACTTCTGGTCTTGTAGTGGACGAACTTGGATTTACCCTTGTAGATTTGAGTAAAATTGGACATAGGAATGACCAATTTGTTTTGGCTTCTCAAGTCAAACAAGTATTTTTTGTTGACGACCCGATGCATCGTGGTTGGTCGGTAGTGTTATCAATGCCTAATAGAGAATATAATGATGTTATTGGTGATGATGTCTTAGGTGATGTGAGAATTGAGTGTGAGCCATTTACTAGGGGGATGCCAAATGTTGACACATTTGATGAAGTGGTGGTTGAGTTAGGGAGTCAAAATATTCGAGATGGGTGTGAAGATATATGGGTTGAATGATGCTTTATGTAATTGGCAGTGTATGACATTAATTTTGTAATATATTGTAATGTGATTTCTTCACTTTCATTATACAGGTTTTGGCCACAAAACAATCAGTACAAAAATTACTGGTTCCAGATTACAAACACGACGGTTTTGATAAAGAACCGCCATGTAATTCAACATAACACGTCTCCAATCCCATAACACCGACGTCTAAAAGACGAGAACTTTAACCTGAACGTTACAAAAGACGACGTCGTCATGAATTTACCACGTCGCATGTTCTTTCATAAACGAAGTGGAAAAGGATGAATTCACGACGGTATTTGAAATCCATTAAATTTGTCGACGTTAAGATTTATGAATTAGACGACGTTAATTTTTTAATGAAGACGTATAAATTATTAAACACGACGGTCTTTTTCATGGTACCGACGTTGTATATAAACGACAACGTCGTCCTCATAAATTACTGTGTCGTAATTAATGACCCCATCATTTTTTCCACGTCGTTTATTTTCAAAATATGACGTATAAATTCTGTAATACGGCTCTCATTTATTTGGAACCGACGTTGTTTATTCATTTCAACGTCGTCTCAGTAAATACATACGTCGTAATTAATGAACCTGACATCTATTTCCACGTCATAATTCGTAGAAAAATCGAAGTGGAAAATTTATTTTACGACGGTATTTGAAGTCCATTAAACTTGTCGACGTTAAGATATATGCATTAGACGACGTCAATTTTTTAAATGAAGACGTATAAATTATTAAACACGACGGTCTTTTTCATGGTACCGACGTTGTATATAGACGACAACGTCGTCCTTATAAATTACTGTGTCGTAATTAATGACCCCATCATTTTTTCCACGTCGTTTATTTTCAAAATATGACGTATAAATTCTGTAATACGGCTCTCATTTATTTGAAACCGACGTTATTTATCAATTCAACGTCGTCTCTGTAAATACATGCGTCGTAAGTAATGACCCTGACATCTATTTCCACGTCATAATTCATAGAAAAATCGAAGTGGAAAATTTATTTTACGACGGTTGTGGGAAATGTTGTGACGTAGTAGGTGTCAATAACGTCGTCTATTATTATTGTAAAGACGTCGTATTTATATTTGTCGTTAAATATTTATTTAACGGCGTGAAGTTTAAGTTCTCGTCGTTGTATGTTTATCTTGCGGCCATGTTCTGTTAATATATGTCATCTGTTTCCTTTTTAACGACGTTTTTTTGTTGGAGTTGGTCGTCTATTCTCATCCTCGACTGTTTTTTATGTCTTTTTGCAGCACAAAGACGTCGGTTTTTATTTTTTGATGACGTTTTTTGTTTTAACAACGACGGTTATTCACCGTCGTGGTTTGGTTATGGAAAAGATGTCGGTGGATTCCACGACCATTTGAAAACATTTTTTTTTTTTTTTTTTTTTTTTTTTTTTTTTTTTTTTTTTTTTTTTTTTTTTTTTTTTTTTTTTTTTTTTTTTTTTTTTTTTTTTTTTTTTTTTTTTTTTTTTTTTTTTTTTTTTTTTTTTTTTTTTTTTTTTTTTTTTTTTTTTTTTTTTTTTTTTTTTTTTTTTTTTTTTTTTTTTTTTTTTTTTTTTTTTTTTTTTTTTTTTTTTTTTTTTTTTTTTTTTTTTTTTTTTTTTTTTTTTTTTTTTTTTTTTTTTTTTTTTTTTTTTTTTTTTTTTTTTTTTTTTTTTTTTTTTTTTTTTTTTTTTTTTTTTTTTTTTTTTTTTTTTTTTTTTTTTTTTTTTTTTTTTTTTTTTTTTTTTTTTTTTTTTTTTTTTTTTTTTTCCCCCAAACCAAAGTCGCCCAACCATCATGACTATAATTTTCTAAGTATCCGAACTTTAACGGGAAGGAGGACTGGTAAAAACAGTAACCTGCATAGAACCTCACACCGGAGATTATTGAAGCGCAGCATAGAGCATGTTCTGCCTCCCTGAACTGACTACACATTCCAACCCTACTCACACAACACACTACCCAAACAATCAATTAGTCCGACACAAAACTTATTAACAAAAACCAACAATAGAAAAAGAGAAACCCTAGAAAATTTTCCATGTTGTCAGCCAAATTATCACAGATATTCAAGCTCTCGATCTGCCATACTGCTAGCTCCTCAACATCCTCATAAACAATCCTGCACTCAACAATCCAACAACAAAAAAAAAAAAATCAATGACAACAATAGCAAATCCGAAGATTCAAACTTAAAGAAAGGAGGTGTGTGTATGTGTTCAATGAAATTGGGGATGTGAGTTAAGACCTCGAAAGTTGTCTTGGCAGCTATTCGAGGGTCTACATGCTTGGCCCCTGGTCGGTCGCCCGCCGGGGTTGGTGAGCATATCGGTCCCCGCTGGTACCATGTTGGCAAAGCGAAGGTGGGCGCTGATGCCTGGTCGGCTTGGTTTCGGAGGCGAGAGCATCGTCGCCATGGCTGCCGCACCGATCACTTGACAGTAGAAGGGACAGCTTGCACGGTCCTCTCTGTGCCGAAGATTGATGCTCAGTGCTCCCGCCCAATAAGCTGAGCCCTGTGACATCTATCATGTATGTGCCACTCTCTCTCTGTTTTGATCATTAAATTAGGGTTTTAAGTTTGAACAAACCGCACGCAATGCCTGTGCTTGTTGCTTTCTCAACGTGATATCTTATGTGAGGCAACGAATCTATACAAATAAAGAATCAGAGCAATAAACAACCAAGCATGTTTGCCCAGAGAGGGTTAGGGGTGACTTACGATCTACTGTACATAATTACGCGTGGGTTCGAACGCCCACGACCTGCCATATTGTATTTTACATATTAATTTTCAGTTGTTTTTTAATCTAATATCATCATAATTTACTACCATAATACTGTAGCTTCTTACCAAATTAATGAAATGGAAAAATACATTTTTTTTTTCATAAAATATAGATCAATATATTTCTTGCTCAGATAATTTAGAGTTCTGTTCTTACAGTGTTACGATGCTTATGTACTCGCACCAATTATGCATTCACCGACTTAATTGTCTAATGTTGTGTACGGCTCCAAATCGTACACAATTACACCCGACTTAACTGTTAGATTTTAACCTCATGCAATGTACCATGGATCATTCAACATTGTGGCCATCACCGTCTCAATTGTCCATGGGATTCGTTTCAAATTGAAACATATGTTGCTTAAGAATGTCCAATCAGTATTTTTTTAAAAATTTTGTAACCACACGTGATAATCCCCATAAAATTACTCTAAATTAATCTAATTAAGAGCATAGAGGATATCCGAACTCTTACCTACAACAAGATTCAAACTTCTGAGTGTAACCACAAAGCGCACCCCACTACTTGACCAAAAACCTAACTCACGTATGCAATTCAAGGCGAGTTGTAATAGAAATGGCTTGTAATGCTACAAAATTAAGAGAACTTTGAAATTTTCAACCTTTGGTTACGATTTATAACTTGCAAATACAACTGCTGCCTTCGTTCAAATAAACTCGGGCCCCATTAGCCTAAGAGCCTTTGGCACGTCTCCATCAGTTGTTATTGTTTTATCACAAATTTCTACAATAAGAAACTCAAAAAAAATGAGAGAAAAAAAAAGGGAAGGGGGGAAAAAAAGGGGGAGGAAAACAAATAAGTAACTAGTGAAAGTTATAAAAAACGGTGCAAAACGTAGTGTGAAAGCAGTGGAGGAAACACAGCGTCAATCAGCGAGTGTAGTGCTATGTATGTCTATGTCGTCGGGTACAAATTTAATTCAATAGCACAGAATGGGTCTATGTATGTAAGTGGCGGTGTGGTGTGTGGGGCTAGACTGGGACTGGTATCATAGGCATTGTTGTGATAATGCTTGCATAAAGTGGGGGATTGTGGGGTCTCTGAGGTGTATCTTTTATCGGTAAGGCGGCCCCCCATGTACGCATGAGTGATATCGTAGAGGACTAACGCGAGTATAATCCTCCCGTACAGGCAGCCTCAGCCGGGGTTAGCACGCTCCAGGGCCGAGCCCGAGCACACATACAACCAGCGCTGAGGGCGCCGTGTGAGACCACGTGTGTAGTGACTGGAGACCCACTCCGTGCGCGCGTGTGCAGGCCCAGGCAAGTCCGTGGCGCCGGCTGAAGCCCGAGTTGGATGCCGGCAAGCGCTGGCGTCACGCTGACGTCCCACGCACAGTAAAACAGATATATTACTTTTTTTTTTTGGCAAAAAACTCGAAAACAACTTGAAAAATCTTCTATTTTTTTTTTAAATACCAAAAAATTTGTATTTTTGCCCGATAAATACCTAACCATTTTATTCACTTCCCACCCAATCTTCATAAAAACCTCATCCTCCTCCAATTTTTTCCCTTTCCACATCAAAATCTTGGCAAGCGGTCAAAAAAAAAAAAAGTCCGTTTTATTCCCTTAATGTCTTTTTTTATATATATACTTTTTGCATTTCCAATTTCCCTTCTTTTTTTTTAATCTAGATTGTCAGGCCAAACCAAATGTTATTCGAAAATTTTATCCAAAAATTTTATTTGAAACTTTTACGTCTGAAAAATATTATCTTCAATTGTAATGAAATTTTACATATATTGACCGTGAAAACCGAAATATCCTCTAAAAAAGCTTATCAACACTTAAATAGTTTAAGTATACAATAGAAATAAGTACATAGAATAGCCATTGCCTTAGCAGCTATGCCCTGATTTTGGGCTGAACCTACAAATGCAAGGCTGACCGCATTCACGCTGCACATAGTGGCAGCCCTTGCTTGGCCCTTTGCTAACCCAAACTCTAACATAACAAAACAAAAAAAGGGGCCAACCCTTAGACTAGCCCCTTATTGGGTCGGAGATGCTCTTACGTGAAACTCCTTTTTTTATCTGGCCACGCGACTTTTGCGCTTTTGAGCAAACCGTCGTCATTATAATGTAACACCATGTCGGAGATGATTGACGATCGAAGAAGTGCCCTCTCCCAAACGCAAACTTAAGGAGAGAATTCCAGAATACTGCACATTGTAAACCATTAGCCAAAACTAGTAGCACAAACATTTAAAAGCACCTCACAACATTACCCCGACCAACACGCTTACTCAACCATTCTGAGTGCACCGTACTTCGAGGGCTCAGAACAAACCTACTCTCTGAAAATTCCGCGAAAAAAAGTCTTTCGAGTTCCACATAACTAAACCCCCCATCTACATGTAAAAACTTATTCCCTCACTTCGTGAAGCCTCTATCTTTCTTTTTTTCCTTCTGACCATCTTTCGTTTCGCACAGTCACCCACCTAAGTCGAAACTTTAATGGACAAGCACGCTTGACATTCCTTCGATCCGGTGCTCAACGTGGGTGTCGCGTACAACACTAGAAGTATTTGGCATCCTCACATAGACCACATGCCTCTTGGCTACACGCGGGATATCCTCTCAAGTAGGGCGCCGCCCAATCGCTCCAGACACACGAATCGCTGTAACGTCGTGGTCCAATAACGCCTCCTAACTATTTGTGACCGACATGGGTGCTGCCAATAACAATGGGCCACAATAATTCTAAAGAACACTCACAGACACGAGTGACAAATCCATCACTGCTAGCAGATCATAGGTCTGTCGACCCCATTGTCGTTGTGATCATTGGCAAGTAACGTCAGGCATGCGGACTACAGGGACGCCCGTCGTGAATGTCGTTCGGTCCTCTTCTCTAGATGGCCACCATAAGCGTATTACATCTATCTACGTGTAGCTTATTAGGTCCTTTAGCCTCTAGGACCCTATCTGTAGGCCGCGACAAAAATCAGACAGTCTCGTGGTCCGGAGTGCGCGTCGTGATGACACTTCGCAATGGTCATAGAGAAAACAGAGCGTGCGCAAGTAATGCACGCTATTCATCGGACCTACTCTCGCTTATATAAGGGACACCACCCGAGTGTGCCTCGTGATGTGAGTCTACAAACAAGCCAGCCAGGAAGGACTACAGACACTACCTACAACCGGAGACCAGCCTTAGCCTTCTCTTCCCACTTGTGAGCCGTCTGACGTACGATCAAAAGGTGGCTGTAACCACACCCTGCATCCAGAATAACTGGAGACATTGTTCATATTCTTTATAGAGGGAGCGTATGAATCGGCACATCTACCAGGGGTCAGGTCGCTCGGCAATGGTGCTAGCTCGGCCGAACGACACTTGCCCGCAAGCCAGCCGAACAGGCCAAGCAAAAGGTGTGGGACGTGGTGCGGCACTATAACACTAGGCGCCAAATTCGCCGTCTTTATATCGGTGGCCCACTGTTACACGGAAATCGGTGCCTCTTCATTGCTGACTCACACCTCTGCCTATATTCCTGGTACAACATTAGGGCTGTTACCTCACAGTAACTCCTAATCAATGTCTAAAAAAACGCTGTGGATCAGAACTGGAAGTCCGTGTATCGCACGATGCAAGTTGCTGTGATATGGGCAATCACGGCGTCCGTCCCATAGTGCACTTACCAGAGCGAGCTGCTTCCATACTGTCCACTCCTCTGTGCTGAGAACTGCGTCTTACCGGGAGAACTACACTGTATCAGGGCAATGATTGCTCGGGGCCACTGCTCGGTTTCCTGGTACGGCTGCATCCTATCCCCGCTCCATGCTACACGATAAGCAGGTAGAGGACAAGTATTTAGTGTATACTCATCACGAGCGACAAAACCATCACACACTCGTAACATTGGACACACATCGGCTTGACTAATATATATACGCTACAAGGGACAAAGGGGGAGTGACTTCCGCACGCGACAGATTACAGGTGCCGTCTCAGAGACTGACGGTAGGTCCAGGGGGGGGTGGGTCTGAACGTCCCGTTGTGTTGATTATTGGCGTATGTCAGACTTTCCTGTCATGCAGGTAATGATCCAGAACAGTCGTAAGGCACCCAATAAAAGTTCAGTCGTTCGCCGACATAAGGAAGGAAATAGTCAAAACGCTATGCCCCAATGTTAGGACTTTAGTAGCAGCATTTCTTGATTGAATTCTTCTTGCAACTAATTCCTCAATACCCGGTCATGCTCTTACTACAAGGAAGTTAGGGCAGCGGCAGGCAGGAAGTTCGGTCAATCAGTCGGTCAGTCGCTCAATCCACCCGAGGCAAGGGATCAGAGGGAAGGGCCGGATAGTTATTGGCTAAACCCAATTTCAATAAAGGGGTAAAGGGATGAGATTGGGGCTCAGACTATGTATCCCAGGAATGCCAGATCCGGATAAAGAGGGCTTGATGAATAGGTGCCCTATCTTGAGCTTGAAGAAGAAGAAGGAATGACCAGGGTAGAAAAAGGGAGAGCTAGCACTTTCATTTTCAAGCCGACGCCTGGAACTGATGAAGTAAAGTATTTCACCTTCTGAATCTCGGTTAATTTAATCTCTCGAAAGAGGGAAAGAAAGCCCTTTGTCCCCCGGATAAGACAGGGAAAAGTGGAAGAAGATCTAATACATTCTCGTCTGTCCTAGCTTATCTATCCTCGAAACCAGAAAAGAAAAGGCAAAAGAAAGAAGAAAGAAAACTCGACAAGAAGCGAAGAAAGTTCACAAGAGAGAACAGAAAGAATGGTTGGGGGTGCTCTTTATACTAAGAAAGCAGCTTTTTATGCCCAAAAGAAGGACGCCGGTAATGGTGATGGCGGTGAACACGAAAAGCAGGAGTGGCCGAAAGCGAAAGAGAAGCGAAGCTGAAAGCAGAAGAGAAGAAGAATATTATGCCCACTTTCTTTTAGTAGTAAGGGAACTCCCCTTTCGATTTGAACTGAATTCCAGGGTTTCTTTTCCCACTGAGCTACTCTAGTTGAACTTTATTTCCCTACTGAACTTGCTATCTATATCTATATTAGGCTCGTGAGCAACTTTCTTATTTCATACTACCTGCGAGAAAGCGCTTTGCTACTGGTGAGCTACCTATAAACTTTCTCCATCTTGGTCGAGAAGTCAACTAACTTATAGTGCTTTCCACACCCCGCCCCGTAGAGGGAAATTTACCTGTGAATGCGGTGCGGGCCTCCCTTTCACTCGAAACAAGAGTTCCGTGCCAAGCATAAAGATTGAATCAATAGGACCGTATTCTAATCCTAGAAATGCCATAACTCTCTTTCGTCTCGACTTTCTTTCTCAAACCACCGGACAGGGGTGCGGAAATAGCTTCAATTAATGGTAGAGCGGAAATAGCTTCTGATTGGATTTCGCCTGAAACGAATCCCTCGCTTTGATAAGAAAGATCCGAGTAAACAACCTTTGAGCTGAGGTAATATGAAATATTTAGGGTTAGCTTTGCGTTCCTTGAGTATGTTTCTGTCCTAAACTAAGAAAGAGTATAGTGCTCGTTTTGATAAGAGTATTCCATACTATCTGCTGGAAAGTTTACAACGTCCCCCCTATTCAACTACGGGAATTTCTTCTGGTTCGCTACTATCTGAAAACGGCCTACAGCTCACGACTGACCTTGAACTGGCGCTTTCTATTTGAACGGAATTCCACAATTGCATTACCTTCGGCTGCACTTCCTTATCTGTATTCCTGGGCGGGCGTAGAAACCCCTGCTTGAACATGAGCTACGGACCCCCCACGGCCATCTCAGCTTCCCCGCGAGACTCTGTTTCTCCTGAAGTGAAGGTTTCAGGTTCGTTCCTCTTAGCCTACGGATTGCAATCGTTGAGATGTCATTGTTGAGATCAGAAGCGGGCTTGAACTGCTTTATTCGGTCTTCAGCTGGCCTACGATTGGAGGCTGCTGAAAGAGAAGAAAAGGAAAGGTGGTGCTAAAAAGGGACTGCTACCAATCTTAAACAAAGGGCTAAAAAGAAATTCACTGATTTCACAGCTATATGAAATGAACTTTTTCACTTTGCATCTCCGTCGTATGAAGGGAAATCCCAATCACAGATTTTTCATCTATATGCGCATGCAAAATAAAACTTTAGATCGTAGGCTTATGAAGGGAAATTGATGTTTAATGAAAAATCCCAGGTTTATAGAATCTGGCAGAACAGCTGGGAATAGACTTCCTAGCCCGGGGAAGGTAAAGAAAGCAGTATCGAAGCCGGCCACTGACTTAGAGAACGGGTCTCCCCCTTTTCGAGTGAAGAAAGGAGTCGGTGCACTTCGGCATAAGCCTTACTATTCATCTAACTCTGTAAGCAGTCCTCCTCAGGGAAAAGAACAGTCCACGCATGAGCAAGTATTAAACTCTAACGGAACCCGGGGTTAGTAAAGATAGTTTACCTCCCCTGCCCACGAAGTACGAAGTGAGGGAGGTGTGCTTTCGTGCTTTGAACTAACCTTTACGCACTGAAAGCTCACGAAGGGACTACTTCCTTTCGATTTGAGGACTTTGATTGAATGAGATTCTAGATATCAAAACAGGAAGTTGCTATTTGAACTCGAAGCAACTGACCTTAATTCCCCCCTGGTCTCTATCCTTAAGGAAGTCATGCTTTTGCCCTTTTGAGTGAGTCCTTTGGAGAACGGACTGTTACTAATCCGATGGAAAGAATCCTTGATCTCATCCAGGGAACGGAAACACAAGCTGTTGGTGGCTAAAAAGCACCCGGCTTGAAGCATCTTGGTGGTCTGGCTCATGGTAGGTTTTTTTGTTTTACATGCGGCCTATCGAATCGAAGCGAACTTAGGCCTTTTTGGTCCTATCGAATCTTCCTTTTTCTGTATAAGAAGAGGTAAGGGCACGTAGCGTTTCACTCTTAACTTCTTCTATTAGATAGGGGATGTTACCCAGACTTAGACCCTAAGTCATTCTTAGCGAAGCGACCAATCATAAGAATGAGATACGGGCCTCCCGTCTTTTTCAGTCTCCCTCCTTTCCCTTCATTCTAAGTAAGTAGCGGTCCAAGTCTCCTTCCCGACCGATCGAGGGGGGTAACAAGGCGATCTCCGATCCCAAAGAAGTAGTGTTTCATCTGCCCGATCCCTTACAAATTATTCTTAGCTCTGAAGCATTCCCTCCGAAATCAGTCCATTCAAGAATAATAACAGGTTAAGGCCCCGTTCCACTAGATGAGAGGAAAGAATCTTTCGCTTATGTGACTATAGGTCTTTTCCCTGGAGGCAATAATGGCTAGGAACAAAAGCTAGGAGTTAGCAGATTTAGATAAAGCTTGCTCGTGGCTTTACCTGCTCTTATCCCTTGACGGGACTTCTTCAGCTAATGACTTAGGGAACCTGAAGGGCAAGGGGAGCTTTAGCTTCAAAGGACGACTAGATTATCTCCTATCATCTTTCGCTTCTATGCCTACAGGGCTTATCCCTGGATGGAATAATGTCTAGGACCTATTGTATTGGGTACAAGAGTTACCAGATGAATCGAAAGCTCGAAAGAGCAAAAAACTTATTTAGAGAAAGAATGATTAAATTCTTTACTTAGCCTGAAGGGCAATAAACGAGAGACTGAAAAGGAAGGTACCTCGAAACAAAAAGAAGGAACTCTAGCATCGGTCTATCGCTATACTACGAGGGTTGTTCTACCGATCGGCCCAGATGCTGACTACCTTAGCGTACGTCGCTCGGGGCCTACAAACCTCTCGTTAGCTCCATCCCTTCTTAAGCCTGTAACATATTTAGGTCAGCGGAGAAAGCGTGTCCCTCATCTGATGATGCAGGGGACCCGTCGACTTTCTCCCTCATTGGCCCGGGACGCTCGTAAGGTGCTTATTACAGGGGTACGGATACAACCGCACCTAAACTACGCTTTTTTTATAAAGCCATAGGCAAGTTTAAATCAATATTCAATCTAGAAGAGAACCAGCCTTAGTAAACTTACAGGAAAGAAAGGAACCTAATAAACTCAATCATACAAGGAATTAAGAGCTTACTTGCTTCTACATCCACTGGAACGGTACTGAAGCCGGAAGGCTAAGGACCGAGAATAAGAAACAACCTAATAAATAAAAAAAGGGAGTAGAACTTGCTTTTGCACCTACAGCTTTTATCCATTGAAGGAATAGAGTTGAACAACTCCTTACTTAGACTGAAGGGAAAGAAAGGGAAACTTTGAACAACACTGACACAGGGAACTCCTCTTCAGGAATTGCTTCGGTACGGGAATCGGGACGTAAGGAAGGGACCGACAACTATACAATACGAATAAAAATAAATAAATAAAAGGGACTTCAGTCGATAACAGACCATAGGGAAGTAGAGCGTATAAAAAACCATACCAATGGCACATATTCCAGATTTTCAACCTCATTGGCCCCGTTTTCCACATCCATATGCTTGAAACTTGGAAATAACTCTTTGATGGAGTCAGTAGGTAAATGCACATCCAGTCATACAACATAGAAACAGTAATTCATGTTCTTGTGGAATTACTTTGGTTATTAGTTAGGGATACAAATACAAATTAAAATAAGCCAGGTAAACAAGAATAGAAGTTACCATCCAGCATCTACGTTGAGGCCTCGTTTGAACTCCCAATTACGGGTGATACGTCGGAAAGAAGACAGAACGAACTGGATCGGAGAAAGAAAATCGAAATCGTCAAATTATGCACTAACTTGATGGAATGCATATATGAGGAACCATGACATTTCTGGGTTGTCACGGAAGAAGTTGAAACCTCTAATTCGCAAGGAATTCTATCCCATTGGGTTTGAGGAGGACTCGTAGATTCGATGGCAGTGCGCCAGGGAAAGGGCCAAGCTGTACAAGAATACCCCCATTAAAGTACCAAACAAAGGGTTCCACAAGCAAGCTATTACTATTATTCTGGGGGATCTCCATTGAGGAGCATCAAACCCTAATGAAAGATCTCTCCCCATTAGCAACAGGTAATCATTTTCAAGCCACAAGAAGGGATCTCCTACTGAACGATAGGAAAGTGAGTTCTTCCAGTTGGCATTCATTAGTCCGGTTGGGTAGGAGCGAGCACCTGATTGATCGCCCAACAAAATAGTTGTTTAGCGAATGACTCAACCTATGCATCCGGTATTTACACACTCTACTTCGAGGTGTGAATCACTTAAACTATTTATTCCCCACTACCCCTGTATTAATGAAAGAATAGAATTTTTGACTTTGACCTTGCGAGCACCCACTCAAAATAGGGAGGGCGAACTCTTATCTCCCCGATCTCCAGGACCGCAAAAGAGATGGAATTTTCCGTCTTCTTAGCCGACGTAAGACCTTCATCCGGCAGCAAAAAGCTGTCCCTTGGAGCAGCTCAAACTTATTCGGGGTATGAAGAAGCGGGAGTGCACCACATGGAGGAGAACCCTACTCGCCTTTGTATGCCAAGTCACTGGACCGGCGAAACGGATTCTCCCGAGGTTGAGCTTTCAAAGCGGGATCGTTCCAACGCGCCCACGCCTTACTGCTTATTCAGGGGCGGGCGAAAGCGCCTATGGGACCATTCGACATTCATAGCCTTTCAATCCTATTGCAAGACTGGAATATGAAACGAAAGTCATCCTGAAATATGCTAGGAGCTTCTTCCCCACATATTCTAACCGGGCATTTTACTATTTGGTCGAGCGGAAAGCCGATTCGTTGGGCGGAATAAGCAGAGGAAAGAAAGAGAACACTTACTTACTCTTACTGCTGATTTCATTCAAAAGCAAAGGAAGAAAGCTACTAGACCAAAGCAAACAGCAAGCTGAAAAACGCTAGCTTTAACTTGAAATTGCGAAAAGAAAGAACAACTATGTAAGTAAACCTTAGCTAGTCCGTAGGTCCGTTAAGGAAATGGAACGAAGCGACTTTACTAAACAAGCGAGAAAAGCCCTATATATTCTATTAGTAAAGCGCTAACGAGCAGAAATCCGGCCCTTCGAGTGCAACCGAACTTGGTGATATAGTGAAGGGAAATTCCGGGAGCAACCCTAGTGGTGACATGAGGAGAATCATTTTTGAACTTCTTGCTTTTTCCTAACAGTTTAGTGGACCCTTCCCGTTGGCTCCCTGAAGGAGATGCGGGATTTAGTCGAGTGGCTTCCTGATTGCAATTCCCTTTTATATGCACTGCTCGTTCTGGATGAAGATAAATCTTTCTAGGTTTCTTCCCCACTGGAGAGGTATTGACTGTATTCCGAGATGTCGGAATGGTACCTGTGAGTACTGACTGTTGTAGCATTGGAGTAATGAACTGAGTTCCTGGGGTGCCCTGTGCTGCTACTAAAGTGTTCATAAGGAGCATCATTTCCTTCATCTGTACTTTTATCTGCTCTATGTTTCCGGCCACTGGGTTTGTTTACTAGAGCTTCTTCTGCTGGCTTTCCTCCTGTTGAGGCTATCATAGCAACCTCTGGTAAATCCTCCCCTTCTTTGATCTTGAGCCGAACTCGGGTTCCTGGCGGTGTGATGAGCTGAGAAGGATCTAATATTCTGCCTTTGCTACTGATCTTGTTGCTGGAGAGTCCGATGTCATTGCTATTCCCATTTGGTTTGCTTCCTTGGTCAGTCTCGAAATTCAGGAGCTCTTGATCGAGGAGGTCCTGGACCTTATGCCTCAATCTGAAGCATCTGTCAGTCCAGTGTCCTGGGCTTCCCATGTTATAATCACAGCGGGCATTGGGATCAAATCCTTTTGGAGGGGGATCAGTTACAGGTTTTGGAGGAACCGTAGTGACCAGGTTTGTTGCAATGAGTTGAGGAAGTAACTGGGATAATGGCATCGGCACAGGGTCAAATCTCCTCTTCCCCTTCTGTTCAATCCCCGTGGTGAACACTAGAAGAGTCAGCAATCGGGTCTTTCGTAGAAACCCCTGCCTGAATGAACACTGCTATCTCGCCTTCTGATCTTTCTTAAGAGATTTTCCTAATTTCTTTCCTACTTCTGTCTATTCGCTTCTACCGGGAGGATTTCCCTGATTGGCTCTCTTGCCTGGAATGACTTCCCTCAGTCCCGTCCCTACTTCTTCTCATGCCACTAATGGATTTCCACTTCTGAACTCCCACGTATTCAATCGATTCTGTTTCATGGCTCGCAGGTCGGAGAGAGTCCACTTCTTCCATTGATTGGGACTTGACTACTTCAGGTGGATCCGATCCTCTTCTTTCGGGTGGATCCCTTTCTATTGATTGCAGCTCGTGAGCAAACTACCTATCTATATTACCATTCTAACCTGTCTTTGCTGAACCGTTGTAATATTCCATATTACCCTAGCTCACAGCTTATCCTTCTTAATTACATCATCCCTAACTCACAGGTTATCCTTCTATGATACATTGGATTTATTGGATTCGAAGTTCGGTTCGACTGAGCGAGCTGTCTTTTCACTTGGGCTGAGAAGAAAAAGAAAGCTTAATAGAGATTCTCCTCTTCGGATGGAGTAAGAGGCTCCTACTACAATATTACATATTGCCTACTTTACGGGTTACGGGTGAGCTACGAGCAGGCTTGATACCACTCCTTCGGACCCTTCGGACTCCAGCGCTTAGAAGAATCCTTATTAAACTCTTATTACATAGATCCTTCCCTGGAGCAACAAGCTAATTCCCTTACTAAAGAAAGAACTGAGACTTAAAATAATATTATACCAACGCTTCCCTTTTTCTTTGTAAGTAAACTTCCATCTTCTAAAGGGAGAGTAAACTCACCTTAGCAGTTTGATTATCCATTTTATTCCCCTGAGATTGAAGTTGCTACTGTACCTGTCTTTGAAGAATGCTGCGAACCCGGCCTAAACGCTTCCTGAGACTCAACCCTACTTCGTCTTCGCCCTCCAGCCTTTCCAGTAGTGGATTCAGCTCATATTATAAATTCTTACTTCACGAGAGAGATACTCACTATTGAAGGGTATACCCACGGGAGAGATACCGAAACTAGAAGCTTTGTTGCACCGCGCTCATTGACTTTCTATCAGAGGGGTTGACGTTCAGTGCCGTAGGTCAGAAAAGGAATGAGAGATGAGAAGGTGGGTTGCGTATATAAGCCCCATTTGACGGTCTTTCTTTGGTCGAGTAGTCAACTACCTCTTTGCCCAAGGATTGCGAATATGCTTGACTGAGATTCCAAGCGGCCTAAAAGACTGCTTCTTGAGCACATGAATATTCAATTGCTCCCGAGCCTTCGAGAAAGCCCATCCTCTTTCAATGCCATCTGACCCATCTGTTCAACCCCCACTTCCGGATATTCTAATTCTGTATTTCCGCCTGGCCTATCCCATTCCCTTCTGAAATAGATCTTTAGTCCCTTGCAAGCTTTGAATCAATCTAACTATCCTCGGGCAACCTTTGAGTAGACCACAGGCGGGTACTGTCGGATAGAAGCCAGCTAGAACACAATCTTTCTCCTGTCGGATAGAAGCTTTTCAAAGGATTCAGGCACGACTCCAATGCTTATGGAACGAACTACGACTTGCATTGATCCTTTCTTATGAAATGGAAGATCAGGGCTTATTCTCTCCTTGCTGTAGAAATGGAGATTTTCTTTCTCGTACTCGCTTTCCGAAACCGTACTTGAGACTCTTTCTCGCCCCGCCTAACATCTCTCATTCCTTTTCACACCCCTTTAGCGGCTTCACCTTTCTAATTACGTATTTTATTAGAAATGTGTCTTCTTTCTTGCTCTTCGCCGCCTACATCGACGGAACTTCTGAACTAAAGTCCAGATCTGCTTTGTCGCGTTCCTCCCCTTCTCCTTCGCTGACTAGACTTGTGCCCACTCCACTGTCGATGAAGAATGCTTTTCGGGCGTAGAAGCTTTCCTTAACTAAAGCATTCCCTTTCCCGCTTGACTGGAGCATTTAATTTCTTTACTTGACCGGAC